AAGAAGCCAGAGGAGGATCTAGCTTCTCTAGAACCCGGGAGTCTGGGTCGGCACACACCTCAGGACCCGGATGCAGCCAGGGCAGGGGACCCGGGCTGGACCGGAGTGCAGAGCTGAGTCGGGGTGCAGGGTGGACCTGGGCGGGTCGCCTGCCCTTTCTGCCCCCCAACTTCCCTGTGTGTAGAATGGAACACGGATCTTTCCGGGAACTCAGTGGGATGGTGGGAGGTGTATTCTGTTGACATATTTTTTGTCTTCTCCTGCCCGGCCCCATCACCCCCATTGGGGACGCCTCAAAGGGGTAAATAACGGACTAACTGGCCAGACACTAGGACAGCGTGGTGGGCTCATTTCCACCAAAGGGCGAGGCAGACACAGCCCTTCTCTCGGGCCACACCCGGTACTGGCACCTCTGAGCAGGCCCGGCCCTTCTCTGCCAGCCTCCCCGCGAGGGATGCAGGAAGCGGAGCCTTTCCTTCCAAACAGCAACGCCTCCCATCAAGCCCCGCGTTACCAGAAGGCATTTAACTAGGAGTCTGGTTCATAAAGAAATGTACAGAATGATCCTGTTCTCGCCATAGTGACGTTTTCACTTTCCCCGGAAGAGCCGTTAGCGACCAGGTAACACGGTGGGAGAGGAAAAGCCACCGGTTCAGGGTCCCAGCGAGGAGAGGCCCAGCAACTCGGCAGGTAATCGAGAGTGTCTGAACCACACACACACACTCTCACACCCACACACACTCACACACACACACACACTCACACACACACTCACACACACACTCACACACACACTCACACACACACACACACACTCACTCACATACACACCTGAACCACACACACAGACACACCTGAACCACCCCCCACACACACACCTGGGGAACCCCCCCACACACACACCTGAACCACACACACATACACACACACACACACACTCACACACACAGATTAGCGTCGCTGACAGAAGGGGCTCCTAACGCAGTGGATGGTGGATGCTTAGAAATGAAGGGGCCGGGGACTCGGCGTTAGAAACCCGCCCAGGACCGGCGCCTGCGCCCGCTCAGCCCTCCGCCTTGGGCTGCGTTTCGGTCGCTGAGGCCGAGGCTGGGCATTTGGCGAAGGTTCCCAGGGCCTTCAGGGCCCCGCAGCCCAGGCCGGGTGGCCAGGCGGCCTCAGCGAAGTCGGAGGCTACACTGCGAGGCCGCTCCCCGGAGCGCCTGGCCGGTGGCCGCCGAGCAGACGCGCGCCGCCCGCTGCAGCCCCGGCCCGGCCGCGGACACCGCTCAGCGGCGGCCCAGTGGGCCTGGCCAGGGGCGCGTCCTTCAGCCACGGGTCCGAGCGAAGTGCTGCAGCTCCAGCCGCACCCAAGCAGGCCAGGCGGGCGAGGTGGCCTGCCCAGAGGCGCAGCAGGGGCCTTCGGGTCTCCCCGCTGAGCCGAGGCGGCCGCGGCTAAGTCTCCCAGCTCCTCCCAGCTCCTCCCTGCACGGAGGCCGCTATCGGGCCTGGAGGCAAGCCCTGCTGCTTCCCCTCGGACCTCGGAGGAGCCCGAGACCGCCCAAGCTGGGCCGGGAAGTCCCTCTGTCCACCGAGACCCACGGGCCCTGCAGCCCTCACCAGGCAAGGCCCCCCTGTCCTCCCAGATGCTACGGGGCGCAGGTTTGGAGGCGAGAGCTAACTTTCCTTCCTCCAACTGCAACTGGGGAGGAGCATCCCCACCTGGTGGAGACGGTGTTCAGGCGTGCGAGGCGCCTGGTTCCGGCGGTTCTGCACGGGGAGAGGGGGACGGGGAGTGATCCCCACGCGCTGGAAGCGGGTGCCGGCCCGTCTGTCTGTCTGTTAGGACAGATCCCCTTGCACCCCCAACTCCACCCTCCGCCGGCTGCGGAGGCTCCAGGGGAGCTGCACGGGGCCTGGCTGCTGGTCCCGGCCAGGCAGCTCCCAGCCTCTGCCCGCTCCGGGCCGGGCCTCCGCACCGCCAGCGCTCTGGGGCCAAGGCACTGCCTCTGGCTCCCCTTCCCACGCCTGTGAAACGGGCCGGCCCTGGCTTTCCCGGCGCTGGAACGGAGGCGAGGGCGGCTCGGGGAGGGCGGCGAGGCGGCGTCTCCAGCTCTGGCCGAAGCCCGGGGCTTCTGGCTGGCGGACACTCTCAGGTCTCCGGAGCCTCCGCCGCGTCCCCAGGCCAAACTGGACCCTGATGGTGGGTGGGGATCACGAGGGAGGAGCCATGAGGGCCTCCCGGCCTCTTCTGGCTCTTTCCCTGGAGCTCAGCCTTGGGGGCCCTGCCGACCCAGACGGGTCCGCGCCCAGACCCTGCCTCACTGCCCTCCTGACCCGGGACTGGCAGCCGCGCCCCTCCCGGCGCAGCCACAGAGCAAACGGAGCTCAGGCTTCCCCGAGGGGGTGGGGTTAGGCTCTAAACACCCGCGTCCTCAGCAATCGCCCCCCCCCCCCCCCCCGCTGGGGGCGCCGCATGGCTCTGGGGAGGCAGGAGTGGGGACTCAGTCCCCAAACTCCTAGCCCGTCTCAAGCCCAGGAGGGGCAAAGCGCTGAGAGAGGGGTGGGGGGAACCCGGGCCCTCCAGGGCCACATCCCTGGGCCTGCCCCACCCACAGTGAACTTTGCCACCGGAGACCTTTGGCTCAAAGCGAGGCAGCGGAGGGAAAGAAACATGTGCGCACGGGTCTCCCCAGTGGCCCAAGAATCAAGGTTTGCCCGGACAGAACCACAACAATAATTTAGAAAAAACAAAGCCCTCTCAAACCACAAAAATAATTTAGAAAAACAAAGTCCACTCGAACTACAAAAATAATTTAGAAAAACAAAGCCCACTCAGCTTATTATTATTCTGGAGAAACAGAATCGGAGCGAAGGAAATTGGAGAGGTGACAGCAGTCCCGGGGAAGGGGCTGGGCGGACAGAAAAGGCAAAGAAGGCCGCTCTGGTTCTTAGATGCTCAGTCCCCACCCCAGGGCCACCCTCAGCATCCCGGTGAGGCCTGCCTCGGGCCTCCGGGCACAGAGGACAGTGCATTTCAGGAAAACACCCACAGAAGAGGCACGCAGCTCTGGGCACCCCAGGCCCTCTCTGGGGTGTCCGGTGCCCCCGCTTGGGGCTCAGTAGGGTTTGGAGGTGGAGGGAAGGGGAGTGGACAGGAAGGCAGGTAGCTCCAACTCTGTTTCTTAGCCTCCCTCGCCCTTCCTCCAGCCAGGCCATTGCAGGAACCCCGTTGTCCGTGTACAACGAAGGGGCGCCAACCATCGCGATCACGGGTGGCTCCTGGCCTGGGGGAGGTGGGGCAGGTGGCAGAGGAGGAGGGTGGGACTGCTACAAGGCCTCAGGACAGCGCCCCAGGGGTTTAGTCTCGGGGAGTTCCTGGGACCGAAAGGAGTGGGAGAGAGAGAGGCAAAGAGATCCTTAGGGGCAAGAAAGAAAACAAAAAGGACAATAAAGAGGAGATGTGGAAAGTGAAACAGAGAGAGACACAGGCCTCTATGTGGGGCGAGAGGGAGGGAGAGGAAGAGAGGACGGGACAAAGAGTCTGAGAAGCTAAAAGCAACAGAGGACCAACTATGCAGAGAAGCAAAACTGTAAAGACAAGGAAAAAGATACAGTCACCCAGCGAGCAGGAGGAAATAGAGAAACAGGCCAGACACTGTAAGAAAAGTTTTTTAAAAGCCGAGAGGGAGGGTGATAAGAGGAAAAAGCAGGAGGAAATGAATGTTCACTGACGCTTGGTGCGTGCTTGTCTGTGTGGGAAGGGGTCTCCAAACTTCCTGCTTTTGAGTCTAGGGAAAGCTGGGGGAGCCAGCCCCACGCTTTCACACCTGGGCTCAGGGTGCAGGGCCTTCCTGGCGCCCCCCGCCCCCCTCGTGTCCGCAGAGGCTGCAGTGATGTCACATGACGTCACGAGCTACCTGTGGCCCCACGCAAGCTGAGAGCGCGGGTGGAAATCGAACCCAGAGCCAGGATGCGCTCCGGCCCCTCTGGGCGCAGCCCTCCCTTCCTCCGCGCTGCGCCCAGGTCCCCGCAGCCGGCGTGGGTCGGGCCCTCGCCTCTGGGAGGTTTTACCGGGAAGAACGGGGACTGGAGTGGGTTGTGGGCTGGGGTTGGGGAGGCCCCGAGTTGCCGGACACTGGGGGTCACCGTGCCCACCACCCTCCGCGGGGATCTGGCCTGGAGCGGCCTTCGCTACCCCCTCTGGCGCCGGCCAGACCTCCGGGCCGAGAGGGCCCTTCCCACGCGCACCCCGTCCCGCGGGCACCAGGCCGAGGCGGCCGGCACGCACTGACCTGCACCGGGGCCTCCGCGGGGCCCGAGCCGGGTTCGAGCGGAGCGGATGCGGACGGACGAGCCTCGGAGAAGCGGCCTCGCCCGCGCAGCGCGCCCGGGCCGCCTCCGCAGCAGGAGTGGGGCGCAGGCCGGGGGTCGCCGGACGGGCGTTATTGGAACGAAAACGAAATAAGAGCGGCGTTAAGTGAAATAGCTAACTTTCTTTTATTAAATAAAACGACTTAAATAAAAGGACGGAGAGGGGCGGACCCTGCCTGAGCGCAGGGCTACCCCAGGCCCCTGGCGCTTTCCCCACCATCCGGCCGGCCGCCCCTCCTCCAGCGGCCCCGCCGGGGAAGCAGGTGGCCGGCTTCAAAAAAAAAAAAAAAAAGCTGAAACTTTTATTATGTACACGTTTGGGCAAAAGTACAAAGTATAATACAGGCGCCCGGCCCGGGGTGCGGGCCGGGGCGGAGGAACGTAAGGCGCTTTCTTTGTCAGCCCGGCCCGGGGGACGGGGCGCGGGGCGGGAGGGGATTGTGCGGCCGCGCGGAGCCCGGGCCCGGCCCCCTCCGCGGCGGCGAGGCGGCGGCTGCGCCCCGGGGCCTCCTCCTCGAGCTCGGCGGCCCTTTCCCGTCCGGTCTCGGCCCGGCTCCCCCCAGCCCGGCTGGGGCCCAGGCGCCCCACTGCGTGGGGTGGCGATGCTTGGCGAGGTGCGCGCGGGGCGCTCACACCAGCGAGGTGACGGCGGGCACCTTGGCGCCGTCCTCCTCCCAGGGCTGCAGGTTCTGCAGCGCGAAGAGCGACGAGTTGTGCAGACACAGCGGGTCGGGCTGGATGGAGTCGCTGAGGCTCTTTTGGAAGGCGTCGTGCTGCAGCTGCAGCATGAGCCGGCTGGCCTGCTGCCGCTCCGCCTCCCGCTCCTCCGCCGTCTGCCGCCTGCGCCGGGGGAGGGAGGGACGGCATCAGGCCCCGGGCCCCGCGGGCTCAGACCTCCGGGGAGGGAGCCCAGGCCCGCCGGGGCCCCGGGGCGCTCAGCCCGCCGCCTCCCGCCCGCGCCGTGTGGGGAGGCCGGAGGCTGGAGCCCGGGGAGCGGGGCGAGTGGTTTTGTGTGTTTGCCGCGCGCCCCGCCATCGCGGCGAGGGCACTCCGCCCGCCCGCCCCCCTGCGCGCCCGGGAAGGCGGCCTCGCCAGCCACCAAGCTCGTGTCCTTGGCGGGAGGGACCCGAGCGCAGCCAGCCGCGGGGGACCGCCTGGGCCCGGCGCGCCGCCGGTCACCGGGCTCCGCGGGCGGGCGGGCTGCCTCGGCACCGCCCGCGCGGGGTCTCCGGGCGCGGCCGGCCTCCTCCGGTTCTCCCGGGGCCGCCCCGGACCCTCCTCCAGGACCGCTTCGCTGTTGGCGGGTTGGATGGAAACAGGGACGCACGGATACACGCAGGGCTGGAGTCGGGATCGGGGGCTCCCGAGGAACCCAGAATTCGCGCGGATGGTGGGAAATCCGAGAGGACCAGCGGGGGGGGGGAGTCCCCGAAGAGCAGTGCGGGAGGACCCCGGGGTGCTGGGAGAGGTGTTGGGAGAGGCAGGTGGGAGGAAGGAGACGAAATAAAATGAAAGGATGGGAGAGGCGCAGGAATGGCCACGGAGGAGAAGCCGGGACGCGGGCGGGGAGAGGGGAGGGGAGCGAGGGCCGGCGGGAAGGAGGGACGGAGGGGCGGGAGGGGGGTTAAAATCCGGTAAGGCGAGTTGGGGGGTACGGGGAGGCGCGGCCGGGCTGGGGGCTGGGGGCTGGGGCAGCGCCGGCTGCGCGGAGCGGAGGCCGCGGCGCGGGGAGGGCGCGAGGCGGGCGCAGGGGGGGCCGGGCCGGGCCGCGCTCACCGCCACTTGGTCCTCCGGTTCTGGAACCAGGTCTTGACCTGCGCGTCCGTCATCTTGAGGGACTTGGCGAGCGCCGCCCTCTCGGCCGAGGCCAGGTACTTCTGGCGGTGGAAGCGCTTCTCCAGCTCGCAAATCTGCACGCGCGAGAAGGACGTGCGCGGCTTCTTGCGCTTGGGCGGCGTGCGGTTCTGGTAGGGGTGGCCGATGCGCCGGGTCACCGTGAAGGGCGTGAGCGCCGCCGCGGCTGCGGAGACACACGCGGCCCCTGAGGCCCGGCCCCGGCCCACGGCCGTTCAGGCCCCCGAGGACCCCGTGCCGCGCGCCGGGGCGCAGGGCGCTCCGCTAGCTCGTGGGTCCCGCGTCCCCAGCGGCACCAGCCGCTTGGGAGCTGCCCCCTGTCCCCCGGGCGCAGGCTGATGTCCCCGAACCCCCCGGTCTCCCTCCCCCCCGCGGCTGGCTGCCCGGGGCCCTGGGCGCCGAGGCCTCCGCCGCGCTCGGGCCTCCGGAGTCGCTTCTTCCCGGAGCCGAGCGCGCAGGGCGCGGCGCCCGCCGCCCGCCCGGGAGGAGGCCGGAGGCCCGGGGCCCGCTCCGCGCCCGCTCACCTGTGAAGCGGTCTTTCACGAAGCGGCGGCTGCTCTCCATCCACGGGAAGTTGAGGCCGCCCAGGCTGGAGACGGCGGGCACGGAGGGCATGGCGGGCAGCGCGCTGGGCAGGGGCGGCGGCACGGCGCCGGGCAGCGGCCTGTGCGCCGGCACCCGGATCACGCCGGCGGGCGCCAGGCTCAGGTTGACGCTGTAGGACCCCGCGTCCTCGAAGGGCGCGCCGAGGCCCGCGAAGGAGGCGGGCAGCGAGGGGTACGCGGCGCCCGGCCGGCCCCCGGGGGGCGCGCCCAGGTAGCCGGCGCCGTCGGGGCCCCGCGGGGCCGGCGCGCTGTCCTGGTCCGGGCCGTTGAGGATCTGGTCGATGCCGAAGCTGATGGGCTCGTGCGGGTGCGGGGTCTGCGCGCCGGCGGGCGCCTCCATCCCGGGCGGGCGGCGGGGCTGCGCGGGGCCGGGCGGGGAGGCGGCTGCTGGGGCCCCGTCACGCCGCGGCCATGGAGCGCCCGGCGCCTCTCGCCGCACTGAAACTTTGCCAAGAGTGCGCGGGCCCGGCAGGCTCTGTGTCATCTTTCTTGAACCGAACCCGGAGTTTCCGCTGCTCATGCCTCTCCCGCCGCAGCCATTGGCTGCGATCAACAAGCCTCTCCCCTCCCATTGGCTCCCGGCGTTCAATAAAGGCCTAATTCATGGAAATGGGAGCTTAGGGACTGTTCCAAGGTGACATCATTTTAACAAACGAACAATAGGTCAAATTTATTAGCCGGGGATAATGGGCGGCGGATATGAGCGCCCGAACCGCAGCCTCCCCGAACCCGAAATCTAACGGCGCTGCAATTAGCAGACGCTCCCCGCGCCTCCGGGCGGCCCGCTCCCCGCCGCCGCGCTCTCCCGGTGTAATCCTCCTTTTTCCGAGGGGGTTTTCGTTTTCTTCCAAAAAAATTTTTTTTCCGTCTGAGCAAAAACCAAACCCTACGAATCCTTCCCGTGGCAATGGAGCTGCAACCCCGGGACGGCCCTGCAGCTCCGCGGAAGCATCTCGGACCCTCCCTCCAGCGCCGCCGCGGGAGCAACGAAAGGGGCGCGCCCCGGGGTGCCAGCCCCGCGCCCCCTGCGCGCGCGGGCGGACGCGGGCACCACGGCGCGCCCCACGCTTCCGAGGACCGACCCGCGTGGGCGGAATTCGCCCCCCGCCCGGGCTTCGGCCGCGGCGCCGCGGCCACTTTGGAGACACTCCCTGGCTCCCGCCGGGCGCACCGCCGAGTGACTCACAGGTGCCCACGCGCGCCGGGCCCGGCCGGGCGAGGGACCCGGGGCCGCCCGGAGGGGAGCGGGGACCCGGCCCCTCGAAATTCGTTGCAAGATGGTCGGGCTGCTGGTCGCGCGTGGGACCCGCCCGTGGCGCAGCAGGTGTGGGGGCCTAGGGTTCCCCAGGGGCAAGGGCGGGGGTGGCTAACATTTAGGGCGAATAGTGGGGTTTTGGGGGGTAGGGGAGCGGTGGACTCCTCTCGCTCCAGTACCGGGGCGCCGGAACCACTCCCAGCTTTGCTCCCTCCCTGGGGGCCTGAGGGGCAGGCTGAGGGGCTCGGTGGACAGCCCCAACTGTTTCCCCTGGGAGGGGGGGACCCTGCAAAATCACTCTCCACCCGTTAGTTCCTAAATGGCTGGATGCAAGCTCACTGCTGCACCCCGGCCAGGCCTCTCCCTGGCGCTCCCTTTTTCGGACTCGGTGAGAGGTTGGATGTGCGCTTGGCCGGGAGTGAGTTTAAATCCGAGCGGCCACTTCGGAGCTGAGCGACCTTGAACAGGTGCCTCCGCGCCTTTCGGCTTTGGTTTTCTCATTTGTGGAAAGAGCGATGCGTGCATTGCTCAGCGGGATTGTCTGAGCCAGAGCGAGGCACTGAGAGCGCAGGGCTGGGCCTGGCTGGCACACAGTAGGCACCCAGCCAGCAGCTGTGCCTGCCCTCCGGTCTCCCTGCCCCGTGATGGCTGATGGATGATGCTTAGGATTCTTGTTTATTTGTTTGCAGTTTTGTTTTGTTTGCGGAAGCGCAGCCTCTCGGGGAGGATGGTTTTGTCTCCAGTGGGGCCGGTCTCAGAGGATCAGGAGGGGCAGGAGGCAGCCTGTGGGGGACTCATCCTAATCATGGGCCTGGACAAAGGGGAGGCCTCTGGATTTGCATCTGCAGGCCCAGGTGCCTGAGGCAGGGCGCCCCTGGCTAAGTGCTAACCCTGGAACCTCAGTATTGGGGGGGGGGGAGAGGGAGGCGCAGGCAGCATGGGGTGGGCCCCGGCCACTCCCCCCAGGGACAGGCACCTTCAGATGGCAGATAAGTCCTTGCTCCAGGCCGGCATCCTGCTTCTAATCTGGGCTCTGCCCCTGGTGGGCGTGGGGGGGGGGGCTTTTTGGTCCCTCATTGCCCCTCCCGGAGCCTCATTTTCCTCATTTGTGAAACGGAAAGGGTAAGCTACCCCCAGGGCGGCTGTGAGAAGTAAATGAGATGGAGCGGGCGGGTAGATAATAATAACTTCGATGACAGCAGCCCGGCTGCCTGAAGTGCGTGCCAGGCAGGAAGTGGCACTTGCTTGTTCCTTACCAGAGGCCTGTGAGGAAGGGACTATTGTGGGCCCCACTTTTCACCCGATGAGGGAGCTGAGGGTCAGAGAGCTCCGGGGACTCCCAGGCCACCCTCAGGGGCCTCGCCAGTTCCACTGCCCTCCTGGCTTCCGGAGCCGGGGGTCCAGGCCGGTCCCTGCCGCTTCCCGGTCTGTTCCATTGGGACAGGGAGGCCCGCCTGCAGGTGTGTGGGCACAGAATTCGGGAGGAGCCATGGGTGGGGTGGACAACGCAGCTCCCAGGGCCTGGAGAGGAGCCCAGTGCTCAAGAATTAGATTCCCACCTCTGTTTACCAGCTGTGGGCTCAGGGGATTACCCATCCTTTGTGCCTCAGTTTACCCACCTGGTAAAGCAACAGGACCACATCATGGGATTCCGTGAGCTCTTCCGGTGAACGCATTCAGCACAGTGCCTGGCAGGAGAGGGCTGGCTTTCTGAGGCCTGGGGTGTGGGTCAGGCGGCAGTAGGCCCTTGGGCCAATGGCCATACACCCTCTCCTTTCTGATCCGGACAGAGCAGAGGTGCCAGGAAGGGGAGTGAACGGGGCAGCCATCATCCGTGGGACAGTGGCTCTCAGTGTGTGTTCCTGGACCAGCGGCAGCCTCACCTGGGAATTGGTTAGACGGGCAGGTCCTTGGACCCCAGCCCAGACTCCCTGGGTCAGAAGCGGGGGTCGGGCTCAGCAATGGTTTTAACAAGCCCCCAGGTGATTCGGTGCACATTCTAACTGGGAGCCAGTGCCACAGCCCTGTCCGACCCACCCCAGTGTTCAGGTGCATGAAATGCCGTGGACACATTCTCTCGTCGTTTGAAACTCTCACGTGGATCTGAGTTCAGTTCTGCATTTCTGTCTCAGTGTTCCTCAGTGGGCCTTTTGATCTTATCTGCCAAAGGTCTGCCTATTTTATTGGTCTTAAAGGACATTTGTTTCATTGTTGTTGTTTTTTTAATGTTTCAGGAATGTTTTGATTTTTTAAATTAATTTCTTATCTGTTGAAGTAAAATTTAGTTCATTTAAAAAGTCTTTGTATTTTTAAATAAACATACTTTAAAAAATAAATTTACCTCTGAGCAGTATTTGGCCAAATATCCTTTGATGAATACTAGGTGTTCCTGAGATTGTAATTTTGCTGTCCCTGCTTGCCTGCTATCAACTGGCCACACACACACACACACACACACATGCACGCACGCGAAAAATTAAATTCTAAGAACTGGGGCCAGATCTCCTGGCTCCAGAAGGACTTCTGGGACGCAGTGCATTCTCTAGGCTTCCCAAGCAGCCGCTGGAGGAGGGACAGAGCTGGTGGAGCCCTCGCTGGGAGTCAGACCGGAGGGGGAGGCCTGGGAATGAAAGGCAGATGCTGGCAGGGATTGCCAGCTGTGCACATGGCATGTGCAGGAGGCTTGCTGCCCTTGACTTCCGGTGTGACTTTACTCAGTTTCCCTGCCTGGGGTAGAGGTTGAGTCAGGGCTCTTAAACGTATTTGGATCTGCAACCCTATTTGAAAGATTGAGGAGAAACTCATGGACAACTTCCCAAGACAAAGACACAAGCACAGGACTCGGTGCCATGTCACGTGCTCCCCTTCCGTTCTTGACTCACACACCCTGGTTAGGAGCCTCAGGGGCCCTCGCATTTCTCGCGATGGAAGGCTCTAGACACCTGCCGACATTGATCTCCGATTCATTCATTTATTCAACAGATATTGATCACTGAGCACCTATTCAACTTTTCGGAACCACACCTGAACGTTGGGCCTCGGTGGTTTTCCCATCTGATAGTGGAGTTAATGAGTCAGGGCCCCGCAGTTGGGAAGGGTGGAGCTGGGACCTGACCTCAGGACGGTCAGGTCTGCCAAGCCCATGCTTTTCCCTTGATGTCTTCTCCCCATTTCCCCTGTGGGAAGGAAATCCGTGGAGAGTCTGGGTGAAGGAGCCCAGGAGTGGGGTGAGGCTGGCCATGGGACTCACTTGTCCCCCCCACTGGCCCGGAGTCCCTTCACAGCGGGACAGTATTGGCGGCATTTGGTTCCATCTCCTGGGCTGGGCCCGGGCCTGACACACCGGAGGATCACTAGGGGTCTATGGTATTAAACCAAAGAGCACACAGCAGGTCAGCCGAGGGGAGAAAGGGGAGAAGGAAAGGGTCCCATGTGTGTCCGTGTGTCCAGGAATTCACCTGTCCTCAGCCCAGCACTCACTGCCCCCTCCTACCCCCCAGCTCCATGGCGGGGTCTTTCCTCGGGCGAAGACCCAGGTCAGCCATGGCCTCTCTGCCCATCCTCCCCAGCCGCCCCTCCCCCCAACCCCATCCCTGTGGGTTTTCATCCTTGCTCTCGTGATTTTGGGACCTAGATCTTATGTATCCTGCTCACCAGCTCTCAGAGGGCAGAGCCTTTGTCTCATTCACCCTTTCTCAGTGACAGGTGAGTGAGTGAACGAATGGTTCCCAGGATCCTGGTGCTGAGTCAGACCGGCCTGGCCTTGAGGGTACAACCTGGCAGGGAGGTGGGCAGCTGTCTGGGAAGCTGGCCTTGGGCTGGGGCTGCAGAGGGGGTAAGAGAAGCTGAGGGGAGGAGACCCCTCCCCTGTGGGCCAGGCTGGTGGGGATGCAGAGGGCTGTGAGCAGGGACCTCAGCAGGAAGCAGCAGATTGGTCTGGGCATGAGCAGGCTGTGCCATGGGCCTCCAGCCCCATCTCATGCCCGTTGTTTGCCCACCCTGCACCCAGCAGCCATTTTCCCGCTTCGTGTTCTACAACTTCCCTCTCTCCCTGACAGATTTCTCTACTAAATTTGACTTCGTTTCAACACTTTCGTTGGGCAAATTACATTAAGATGGATGTTGCAGGTACCCTTTATGGTTTATTTATCGCGATACTGTTTGTATCTCACGCTTATAAATAACTTATGTTATAGCTTTTGTTTGTGGAAATGTAACTTACATATTTTATTACGCTTTCTGTAAACCTCAGAAAGAATCCTGTCAGGGAAGCGCTCGTATCAGCAATCCAAACTATGGGACGTAAAAATCGACACTAACATTATTTTTTAATATGCCAAGGAGGCAGATTACTCTTGCTGTAGTTTGAAAGGTTTGCTGTCATCGTAAACTTACACCTCAATAAAACATTAAAAAGTCTCCGGAATGATTTTATAAAGTTCACGGAGGAGTAGGAGTAGGTGGCAGAATCCAGAGACACAAAATATGGGGGCCCTGGCATTGGACTGGCCTTTCCTGGGGGGAGGGCAGCCACATTTGGGGGTCCTCAGGGTCCCAGACGCATTCCCCTGCCCAACAGCCCCGGACGCCTGGCCGTGAGGACCCGGTGTGAGGGATTAAGTGGAAAAGAGAGGTTTTGGAGTCGGGCTGACCTGACTTTGAATTCTGGCTTGTCCACTTTTCAGCTATGTGGCCTCAGATCAGACTCAGTTTTCTGATCTCTAAAATGGGGCTAATCTTTATCCGACCTTCTTATCGGGAAGCATTACATTTAAACCAGGTAGCAACCTTAGTGCTCCGAAGGCGTGCACACTAAATGACTGCGGTTCTAATGGCTTAAGTTTCTTTGTTCGACTTGAAACTTCCACGCTCTCCCTTTCCCCTCCTCCCCAGAGGAGCCAATTCTCTCAAATGCTGCCTCAGCCTCCCCACACCGCTGGGCTGGCCCCATGTACAAAAGGTGCCCCACTTTCTCTCACCAAACCGTTCCTGTTCTTTGTTCTCATGCTCGGCTCTCCTGGTAGTTCATCTCCTCACCGACCTGAGCCGGTGGCCTGTGCCAGGCCAGCTGTGTGCCCAAAGGGCCCTCCATACCACAGGCCCTGAGGAGGGGGTGCACTCTGAGTGGAGGGAGCTGGGGCGAAGACGAGAGGGCTTCCTGGGCTGCCGAGGCCACCACGCAGTGCGGGGGCCTTGAGCTCCCTCCCCACTCCCCACCTATCCTCCAATCCTAGAAAAGCCAGATTAGAAAGGCCAGAATGGAAACACCCAGAATACAGTTTCCCGGAGGGTCAGGTTCTGAAGTCAGTGTAGAAGGGAAAAATGAGCAAAGTCCGAACACCTTCAAACTGTTTCTTGCTTGAGCATCAGAAGAAGCAGGAGGCTTGGCACTGGGCCGCTCGCTGCGTGAATGACACCACACAGGTTTGCACATCAGAACATCAGGAGGAGGAGGTGACCTGCACCCCCCTGGGGCCGTCTGCTCCCCCTCCTCCTGAACGCCCGCACTGTTTATTTCTTCCGGTTGGTAAATCTGCGCCTCTGATGGGATTAGAACACGTACTAGACTCACCTAGTGCTGCACAAGTCTGGGGGTGCCCTTGTGTGCTTGTTTTACCCTTAGGGCCCGGTGTCCCCATGCCCACTGCCCCTCGCCCAGGCGGACCCTGGCAGGCTGGGGGCGGGGCCCAGTTCCCTATCAGGTTCCCGTTGTCGGTGGTGGGTGGGTGGTGTATGTGAGTGCACAGCGTAGGGTCCTGAAATGTCCCAGCTTCCCCATCCTTCCTCCCCTGAGAACGGGTGCAGACAGACTGCTCTCTCCACAGGAAATCAGAATCCCAACAGGTCTCAAGGAGAAACTTGCAGCCAAGCTCAGCCAGAGAAGAGTGGTGGCAGGAAGTGTGAGGAGGGTCCCAAGCGTGCCTGCTCCTGGTGCCCACCCTGTGCTGCCCCCCAGCGTGGGGGTGAGCTGCCCTAGTGACCTCAGTGAGTAGACACAGCAAAGGCCACGGGCAACCGAGACTGGTGACAGGGGCGACTTCCAGGTTGCTCCCTGGCTCCTCTCTTGCCTGCTCTGGAGCACGCTGCCTCTGCGAGCTGCCAACAAGGACGGCCCCTTGGCAAGGAGCTGAGGCTCTCAGCCCCCCAAGCCACGAGTAACTGGCTCCTGTAATCACCACCGATGATCGCAGAACAAACCCTGCCTCTTGATCCTTGTGGTGATGGCAGCCCGGGCCACCAACCATGCCTGCAGCCTGTGAGCCAGACCCTGGCGTGGAGGACCCAGCCACGAGTGGGCTCAAACCCTGCCGGTGTAAGCCAAACACCACCTCTGAGTGCTAGTTCCCTCCTCTCAGGAGTGGAAACACTGTTGCCCTCCTCCGGGAGGCCACTCACCCCCAGCAAAGGGAGACAAGGCAGGCCAGGGCCCACGATGCTCAGTACACGTTCGCGGAGTCCGCGCGGAGCCTGTGCCTGCTGCGGGCTCTGGGCTCCCAAACAGCCCTGAGCAGGCCCTGCCGGGGTCCACAGAGGCCAGGCCTGACGGGTCCCCAAGAGCAGCTCCCCAAGGCCAGGGCCGAGCCTTCCCTGGCTGGGGTGAAACCACAGGTGACCTTTGGTGCAGCAGAGAAGAGCAAGGGCGCGTTGTTATTTCCTTGTGAGAATCCTGCAAAGGATACTTTGCTTTTCGGCCCGACTTGTGTAAAGAAAGTGGTGCTGCCTGAGAAAGGCCCTCTGTGAGGATTCCTGTGGGCGAGTGAGAGCATAAGCCCGAGACACACGCTTCCCAAGTCAGCCTCTGCAAACGCGTGTCTCATAAAGGTCAGAATGTGCCTGCTCCCGGAACACGGTGTTTCTCCCTGCGAATAAATCCAGGGTGAGGCCGACCCTGTGGAATAGGAAAAGGGGCCCTATTGGTAACATACTTTTCCTGATTCCCGGGTTCACACACGGCAGACAGACATTTAGAGCTAAACTTGGGGGACGATGATTTTAATGTGATAAGCCTGCTATAAAATTCCTATCGAGCCGAAGCCGGTTTGGCTCAGTGGTGGAGCGTCGGTCTTCGGACTGAAAGGTCCCAGTTCGATTCCGGTCAAGGGCATGTACATTGGTTGCGGGCACGTCCCCGGTAGGGGGTGTGCAAGAGCCAGCTGGTCGATGTTTCTCTCTCATCGACGTTTCTAGCTCTCTATCCCTCTCTCCTCCTCTCTATAAAAAATCAATAAAATATATTTAAAAAAAATTCCTATCGAGAAAGGTCTCAAGAAACAAGGGTCTGAGAGATGAGATGATGACAGGAGCCTGTGGATGTTCTTCAGGGGAAGCCAACCTTTCACGTCTCACCAGAAGCAAAGGGCACAGTATTTATGACGACCCTGGGCCCGAGGACAGCGCAGGGAGCCCCGACAGCTGTCTGACAGCGGCACCTCACGCCAACAGCCTCCTTACAGCCCCTCGCAAACGGCAACGGCTCCCCCTGACCCGGGAGCGGATCACTGGCCATCCCCCCCGTCCTGCGTTTTTGTGGAGGAATGGAGACCTATTCCTCATTCCCTGAATCTCTGGTGCCTAGAACTGATGCCCAAGAAGGCAGCTGCCCCGAACGTACATGTTAATTAGACGCCCCAGCTTCTCAAAGGTTAAACGGAGGCGGAGGCTGGCACCCCGGGAGTCCTGGCTGGGGTGGCCGGCTGCTCCTGAAGACATCTCTCTGCAGGCAGTAATTGCACAGCTTAATTCTTCTAGACTGAACCACTGCAGATTTATGCCAGGGCAAAGCAAACGTTGTTTGTAAGTCATTTAATTGTGTTACTGTCTCTCAACTTTATCAGATGCTGCTGAGGAGAGAGGCGGTGAGTGCGGGGCTGCCTCGGAGCTCCCGCCGCTGCGGCTTCCAGGCCCGTAACCAACGGCCGCCGTCACAGCATCGGGTGGGATGTGTCTCCAGCGGATCCACGGCGAAGGCTGCGTCTCCAACAACTCCTCTGCTCGATTCCAGAACCATTAACGAGGACACAATTAGGCGCAAACCTGGTTTATTATGTTCTTTGGTTAAATATCGTTTCCACCCCCTTTCAGAGCATTATAAGAACAAAGATAACAATCTTTTATAGAAAGACGGAAAACACTTTTGCTTTTTCAGAGCGAAGAATGAATTTACATTGTGCACTATATAAATTCTTATAATCAGGTCAGACTTATAAAAAGGTAGGGCTTTTGTTGTTGCTTGCTTTGAAAAATAGATCTCCCTGGGTTAGCCGGCGCTGCTGTCCGCGGCCCAGACCACAGTCTCTCGGTAAGGCTCCCGCACGTGTCAGCTCATCATGTCCAGATCGGCGCTGCCATCGCTGCGCAGGGCCTCCGCCACGTCTCTTCTGAACACGGACAGGTTCTGGGTGAACCTGTGGGAAGAGGAAGAAAGGCCCAGCAGCGTCAGGACCCTGGAGAGGGCCCTAGGTCCAGCCTTCTTCCCACCCTCACTACCACACCTTTCCCTCCCAGAAGACAAAGGTTACCACCCCGAACACTGACCATTTTGTGGGGTGAATTTCATGGCTATACCATATAAAAACTGGAGGCCAGGTGCACAAAATTTGTGCACAGGAGGGGGTGTCCCTCAGTCTGGCCTGCACCCTCTCCCATCTGGGACCTCTTGAGGGATGTGCGACCGCCGGTTTAGGGGCATTGACTCCAGCCATTAGGAAAATCCCACAGAATGTCCTGGACATACAAAAGTGTGGTTTTATGAGTTGTTTTAATAATAATGGCCATTCCTTTATTTTTTTAAAAATATATTTTATTGATTTTGTACAGAGAGGAAGGGAGAGAGAGAGTTAGAAACATCGATGAGAGAGAGTCATCGATCAGCTGCCTCTTGCACACCCCCTACTGGGGATATGCCCGCAACCAAGGTACATGCCTTTGACCGGAATCGAACCCGGGACCTTTCAGTCCCCAAGCCGACGCTCTATCCATTGAGCCAAACCGGTCCCAGCTTTTTTTAAAAAATTTTTTTATTTTATTGATTTTTTACAGAGCGAAAGGGAGATAGAGAGCTAGAAACGTCGACGAGAGAGAAACATCGACCAGCTGCCTCTTGCACACCCCCTACCAGGGATGTGCCCGCAACCAATGTACATGCCCTTGACCGGAATCGAACCTGGGACCTTTCAGTCCGCAGACCGACGCTCTACCACTGAGCCAAACCGGCTTCGGCAATAATGGCCATTCCTTTAAATAATATCTGCTTACAATACAGCTGGTACTATGTGAATTCAGAACGTTAATGTCACAAAATCATAAAAGGTTGTAGTGGAAATAACCTTGAATTGTCTATTCCAAACTTTTATAAATATTGGGATTCCCTTTTCAAAGATTTTGAATGCTTTTTGTCCTAAGAAGCTTAACCAACTTTTGAGGCAACCCATTTTCTGTGAAACGACTGGGGGACTTCTGCCACCCCCGGTGGGGCTGAAAGGACTGGGAGACTCCAGTGGGGCTGAGAGGGCTGGGTGCCACCATATTTGCGATGGCGTGATGGTCAATATTCCCTCTTTATTAGGTAGGATTGTTTTTAAAAAAGTTGAATTACACATTGATGTTATAAAGCATATAAAGAAAATGCTGAAGTTGTTGTGCCAAACACTGGGTTGATTTACATATAAATTCATTTAATCATCACAAGTCTTCCCAAAGGCAGGTATTAGCATCCTCATTTTACATATGAGAAAACGGAACTCACTACTTCAAAAAGGGGTGCCACACACGCGATTAAAACAAAGGGGGGGTCATTGGGTTACACTGTGTTCAAATCCTGCTCCATCACTTCTTAGCTGGGTGACCTCCAATGACTACGTGATGGCCAATATGAGTAGCTACCCCACGGGAAGTGAGAATTTATTGAGCTCAGCAGAGTGCCTGCTGGCTAGTGCACCGGACGCAGAAGCGAGGAGAGCAGTCTGATACCATCTCACATGTGCTCATGAGGTGGTGCTCAAACTCCCCCCTCCCTCTCCAGGCACCGAGGGGTCCCCACTCAATAACTCTCTTCTGCTGGCTTCGCAGGCGGCCCTTCCTGCCTGACAGGGCACCTTGGCCTGAACAAAGGAAGGTGCCCACAGAGCCCATCCACTTGGCTTGAGTTGGCCTTTCTCACTGCCATGCAGCCTACGGAGGTCAGGGGTAATAACACTAAAGTTGGGGTGATCTGACCTCAGAGCAGTGCCCAGGCTGGTGGCTCCTGGACACACTGTGGCTACTGGGATGACTGATTTGCATTTCAAATGGGGTAGCCTTTGAAAGAGGATGCTACAGGCCGTTGTTTTCCTGGGAACATTTTTTCTCCATCACTCCCCATTGCCTATCTTCTCCACTAGAAGCTCAGTTGGTTCCCACTGGTATCCCCAATGTCTGCACATAGCAGCTTCTCAACAAGAACGTGTGCACCGAATGAAGGGATGTATGGACGGATTCAGGCATAGCTGATTCCTCGTTATTTAGATCTCACGGGCAACTTACCTGTCTCTGTTCTTGACGGACAGGTTCTGCTCCACCCCTTCCATCAGGTTCCTGAAGCACTGGGCCAGGGCCTCCTGCTTGGGAGGAGGCTGGCTGCTGATCAGGCCTGCCCTCAGCTCACCGAAATGCTGCCGGAGACAGACAGGCGTCAGAGCCCTGACTCCGGACCCGGGCCTGGGAGAGCCCCAGAGATGGACTGGCCTGGCTCCATCAGCTTGGGAACTGACTCTCAGAGGAGCAGTGGTCCAGGCCCACTGAGAACTTGAAGCCTTTAGAGAGAACTAAAGCAACAGAGGCATCCTAGGGATAAACTGTTCTCCTTCCTCATAAAAACCTCTCGCTGTAACTGTCCCGCCGTCACCGAACAGTTTAGGCTGATGGAGACCTGGCTTCCTCGGGGACCGAGTACACAGAGATCTACCCGACCGACCGCAGCGAGGCTGACGGGGAGGGGAGGGCTGGACTAGAAGGGCCTCTGAAGGCAAGGCCCAGGCTCCTCACACAATTCCAGGCCTCCTGCCGATGCCGGCCCTCTAGGTTAGGATGGCGCCAGAGACGCCTGTCTAGTTCCTGGAGAACTTTCCGGCATGAGGAAGCTCCGCCATGCTTGCTCACAAAGCTGCACTGAGCCCGCCCCATCGGCGGGCTCCGGGGCTTTGCACACACCGACTGCACCCAGCTCCTAATCACTGGGAACGGCCTAATTTCAGCACAAAGGCTGTACTTCTACAGTCACGTGTGTCTGCTTCCCAGCCCAAACAGCATGAGATTTAATTTCCATCATACATTAAAACAGCTCACATCAAAAACACACATAATTAATATGGAGTCAGACTAATACTTAAATACCATATATCAGAGGCATTAGACTTAAAGCTCAATGTCTTCCTGAACAAGATTGGGAATGCACAAAACGACTTATTTTTCCCTTTTATAATGATGCAGTGACTCACACCAAATAGAAAATTATTAGTTTTTCATCCCAAACCATGAAATATTGCCTCCATCAGTAAAGTATAATATTGTGATGTCATAAGCGTTTTCTAAACACTGAATTTGCCCTCATTCCCTCTCAATCATTTTAAAAGAACTGCTCTCCTTTATAGAGCTCGGATTTAAATCACAGGAACACCGCGGGAAGATGAATGGCAGCGCGACTGAATGTGGCGAAAATTGGATACTTCAGCACAGGTGAGTGATGAGACAGCCCTTCTCTTTTTGATATATTTTCTTCTTCTATTAGTTTCCTTCCAAGGCCGGGATCTCAGTTTGAATTTTAATGTGTGCGGCTGCCTCTAATCTCACGGTCTTTCCCCCAGTACTATCTTATTGTACAGACACTTCATTCTCCCGGCAGGAATGTAGCTCCCGCTGGCTGCTGGGAGCCAGGCCTCCAGAGCGGCGGGGACACCAGGGCTGGAGGGGCTGGCCCTGCTGGTGTGGAGGGGCTGCTGCTACCACCTGGGGCAGTAGGGGTCCCGGATATAGAGGAAGGCCAAGGAAGGAGCAAAATGTATTATTGCTCAGAATTCGCTTGGAACAGGGGAGGAGGTGAGGTGAGCTCGGAGTGCTGCTGAGCAAACCAGTGCCCAATTCGGGAGCTCGGGGGCCAGGAGAGCTAGTCTTGAGGCCCTTGCCTCACGGAAGGGCTGAGGCCCTTGGGGAAGGCCTTCTGGGGAACATGGCTTTGCCCCTGGGCGTTCAAGGCTCCTGCTCCGGCTCAGTGGCTCCCCTGTCCTTCACTGTCAGTGCCTGGCCGGGTGAGCAGCTCCTCCCCGCCCAGTGGCCCCTGCTCGAGGGCCTCCCTGCAACCACACTCACCTTCTCATGGAGCAGGATGAGGCCCAGGAGAGGCCTGGAGACCGACCACTGGTTCCGGCAGTCCTCAAAGACAATGGTGTTCATGAGGACAGACATCATCTGGAAGACAGAGGCTCATGAAGTCACGGATGCCTCGGCCCAGAGGCCCACCAGCCCCAGGGCTCTCATGGCTCGGTCCCTGCCGCTCAACCCTGAAGCACTCTCCCTTGATGCCAGGGATCCAGGCGGGAGCCCAGCGCGCCTTCCTTTCTGTCTCTCGTTTCACCAAAGAGGTCAGGTTATGGAGGAAACGTCTGAGAGAGAGGGAGGAGTGGGACACCCTCCACGTGACCTTGGAGGGGAGTTTCCTGCTGGCTTAGTAAAAAACATTTTTTATTGACTTTTTAGAAAGAGAGGGAGGAAGAGGGAAGGCAAGAGAGAAACATTGATTGGCTGCCTCCTGCACAGCCCCTACTGGGGACTGAGCCCACCACATGGGCATGTGCCTGAACAGGAATCGAACCAGCAAACTTTCAGTGCATGGACACCCAACCCCGGGCTCCACTTGTTTTCACTCACTCACACTTCACTCCTACATGTACATCCTTATCTGGTCTCTTAAATTCAAGTCTGCAAGACACCTAGGGGAGGAAAGAACCACTGTCCTTGAGCTAGAAGCTTCCTGGAGAGACCACCCAGGAGGCAGAGAGGGAAACAGGGCGGGGCGGGGGGGGGGGGGAAGGGGGTAGGCATTGTGCAGGGGGAGGTTGTTTCTGGGTTCCGGAGAAGTCCGGGAAGACTGCACAGAGAGGTAATGTTTATGAACTTCATCAAAAATGTGTTCTAAGCAGAGAGACAGCCAAGGAGAAGGCTGGGAACGCAGGAGGCTGGGAGGGGTTCTCAATAGTAAGGAGCCCAGGCTGCCGGCGGGAAGACCATGCGAAGAACCGGCTTGGTGCTGATGGCACGGGGAGGCAGCCATGGGTCTGTAGCAGAGCAGAGACGCGCTCGGGTTCGTGGGGAACATGCAGTGTGAGCTGTGCCTGTGGCATTCATGCTGCCAAGCCCGGCAAGTGGTGGCGAGGCAGCTGTGGTCGCTCCCGTGGGGCGGCTGACACGACTTCTGCTCTTTGGACTCTTTCCCTCCCACCTCCAGCTCCAGAGTTCCTTCCTCAGGGGCGGGAAATGGCAGGGACGTGGCAAAGGCTGACTGTGCTTTGGTGACACTGGTTTCATCCTCTGGCATTTCTGCATTCCAATTTACCCCAAAAGCTCAGGCAAGTGGCTGGACCTCTCTCTCCGCGTCTGTTTCATTAGCCAGAGAGAGGAAAACCAGAATCCTGCCCAAGGAAGCGCTGAGAATCAAATGAGAGGGTGGCTACAGAAGTGCTGCGACGAGCAGATAGCGCTACAAACGTTTAAGGTATCTAATCACAACAGGAACGGGCTTCCTCGTAGCTCCAAACACACGCCATTGCACACGTCACCATCATCGTGCTTCTGCTGGCTGCAAACGAAACCTGCCAGTGCGGACTGCCTGGACGTCCGGGCTCCCCGGGCAGAGGCGAGGGCTGCAGCCTGGTGCTGAGCATCACTGCAGATCACACGTTCCCATGTATAACCTAACAAGCCGCCCGAGTCATAGAGCCACAAATTAAGTTGACAAGCAAAACTAACAGATCCACGGAGACAGTCTAAAATATTATGGGCTTCACAACGTGAAGGCAGAATGGATATCTTAATGGAAAAGATTAAAGCTAGAGGTACCCAACTCCTCCAGTAACTGACAAAGCATCCTGGAGTGATGTGCCAATTACTTTCTACGGTTCTCCCGTGGATTCATTTGTCTGAATGCATGTATTTATGTCTGTAATAAGTAAGGGGATGTTTGAATAAAACACTTTTCTAAAAATAAAGTTAAGCTAAACTGGATGATTTTTTTACCCATCCGGAAAAATGAAAATTAGTGAGCAAATCTGCTCAGATGGTACTGACGTGGCAGCTCATTGCCAGAGTTCTTTTACCTAATAATCGTGGAGGGTGCGGGGAACAGCTCAACCTGCTGCAAGCTGCTCTGGAGAAGGGCCCCGCGTGGAAGAACACCAGTGGGCTGGTACTAGAGTCCTGTCCAGTGACGGGGAGGTCAGAGCTGGGAGCCTCTGTGGTTACGACGTGAGCAAGCAAAGGCTGCAAGGAGCGCGCTCTCCGATGGGCCAGCCCATGGTCACAGGGCACTGTTGGACGTGTCCAGATCTTTTACTCCAACTGGGGTGGTCCTCTCTGGCATGGCCCATGGAATCTCCTGGCTCGAGGAAGTGGCCGTTAGTTACTGATTATGTACAGATAGCTCAGATGATTGCCTCCTCACAATCATCTAACTTCACTGAGAGTTACAGTAACAAAAATTGTCTACTATGGTAAATATTATAGTAAAAAAGTATCCCTAGATGTCAACCAGATGCCTGGTGAATTCGCTCACAGCCTGGTGTAAACAATTTTTGTCACCTAATATTTTTAAATTACGGGGGGGAGGGGGGGGAGAGTATCTGTATTTGGTCTGGCACATGTGTTAATATGGATTTTGAATGATGGTGCTTCTGGTCTGAAAACGTGTAATCTTCTAAACAAAGCTACTCTACAAACACCTGACCCGGAAAAACAAACGAAGACAGTTGTTACCCGTGTCTGTTCACGCCCACAGCCCGCTGCTTCCACCTAAACTGCGCGGGCCACTCGCCCGGCACAGGTGCTGACTCAGTGCCTCCTGCTTCCTCTCCTGCTGATGGAGCCCGCGGAGATGTGGCGTCTGCTGGGTGCTCCCGTGGATTGGAAGCTGGGGCGGGAGGGGTAGGGAGACCAACCTGCAGACTTGTGGGTGCTGGGAGCATGGGGGACTTCCTCTGTATCCCCAGGGCCTGGCATGCATCTGATGCACATCGGAGCCTTAGGAAAACAGCTCTGAGTGAAAGCGTGAATTCAGGAAAAACAGTAAGTGAATGAATGGGAAAGAATGAGTGAAATATCAAGTGTAAAGAGCTAAAGATGAAGAGCCTGCTGAACAGGGAAATGGAAAACAAGCCGGGCCAGGGTAACCTGTCTTGTCCAAGGTGGCGGAAGGTGGCTTTGGTTTAGATCAGTGATTTTCAGCCTTTTTCATCTCATGGCACACACATAACTAATTACAAAATTATGCAGCACACCAAAAACATATCTTTTGCTGATCTGACAAAAAATAGGTATAACTTTGATTCAGTCCCACTGGACACCTATTGTTGTGTTGGCTGTTGTCATTGCTTTATTTGACTACCTAAGGCAGTGGTAGGCAAACTCATTAGTCAACAGAGCCAAATATCAACAGTACAATGATTGAAATTTCTTTTGAGAGCCAATTTTTTTATTTATTTTTTTATTATTATTATTTTTTAATATATTTTTATTGATTTTGTACAGAGAGGAAGGGAGAGAGATAGAGAGTTAGAAACATCGATGAGGGAGAGTCATCGATCAGCTGCCTCTTGCACACCCCCTACTGGGGATATGCCCGCAACCAAGGTACATGCCCTTGACCGGAATCGAACCCAGGACCTTTCAGTCCCCAAGCCGACGCTCTATCCATTGAGCCAAACCGGTTTTGGCGAGAGCCAATTTTTTTAAACTTAAACTTCTTCTAACACCATTTCTTCAAAATAGACTCGCCCAGGCCGTGGTATTTTGTGGAAGAGCCACACTCAAGGGGCCAAAGAGCTGCATGTGGCTCCGTGAGCCCCAGTTTGCCGACCACAGATCTAAGGAAAAAGGTCAGTGTCCCCGACTAGTCAGGGATTGCAGGTTTAAACATTCTTGTGGCAAAGGAAGGGCAAATCTAAGGAAAGGTGAGTGACTGAAGAGAAAGTGTCCATGTGCCTAGATCGAGGTGGGGTGGGAGGAGGGGACAAATTAGGGTGACCAGGGCTGTGCCCAAGAGGGTGTGCCGGCAGAGTGGGGGCCCTTAGTTGCTAGGCGGTGTCTTCCTGGGGAGAGGGGTAGCGTACAGATGGTCTGTGCCTCTGGCCAAGCCAGACGGGCCTCGGGTTTGATGTAACGAGTAGCTGAGGAACAACCAACACTAAGTGCACCAAACACTCAGGAGCTGCTCTGAGTGTCAGGGAGCCTTTGGCCAGGACTGGCCGTGCCGAAGGCCAGGAAGAGGGGAAGGTCCAGGTCTGGGAGAGCCTGAGTGCTACAGAGGGAGGAGAAGCTTCCAGAGTGTCGGCACCTGGGAACAGGGGAGATGATGCTGTCATGTGCTGGGGCTGACGCCTGGGGCGCAGCGATGGGAAATGTGATCCTTCTCAGATGAGATACTAGTCATCTTTAGGGAAAAGGAGTCAGTTGCTCTCCCTGTCTGCCTACCGATGTGGTGGTAGCGGAATGTTATGGAGAATGGAAGTAACAGACAAATAAGCATATATTTCCCTGCTTGCATTAACAGTCTCACTGTCTGAGTGACATTAAATCTTTTAATATCTGTGCACATTAAGTACACTTGTAAATTCTTGTATGTTTTTGTAGCCTCAGAATAGAAGCAAGTGTTCAGCACTTTAAATGAAAAAAAAAAAAAAAAATCAAATGAAACACAAGAGGAGATGAGCCCTTTTTTTAAAGAGATAAGATTGCAATCAATTAGGTGACCCTTTCTCCCCCGCAAACTCATCTGGGAGCCCTGCTTAGTTGGCCTCTGCACAGTGTGAGCTTTGCTTAAAAAAAAAAAAAAAATGGGAAAAGGCTTCTTACCAGTGAAGTTACTGGGACTGGATCCCTCAGCCAGCTGGTCACATGTTACAGCTAGCTGGTCACATGTCCCATCTAAACTGACAATACCCTCCTCTTCCACCCCATCTCACGGAAAGTTGAGGGAAGCCTTTTCTCCAAGTGATGAATGACCTAGAATATTCCAAAACTCTTCCGTCTATTGTAAAATTTAAGGAAATACACAATCTGGTTTTGCCGTTGTTTCAATTTCCTCCATTACCAACATTACCCCTGTTCTCCAAACATTCATTTGAATCATTGTTTATTGGGGAAAGAATTACCTGCCAGTCTCCTAGCTTATAGGAAAGAAGATAAAGTTGGAACGCAAC